TAATCCTGGGGATGTGGGACGAAGTCGATATGACTGTTAGATGTGCTTGAGATTCTCTGTAAATAGATTTAAACATGATCATAAAACAAAACCTGACCCCACTCTTGGATGATGAGTCACAGGTAATTTTTTATTCTATTGAATGGTTGTTGATTTATATACCTCACTACGCTTGTCCACCTGTAGGTTTCCTTTTTTCTTGTTGAATCATGATCTCTCTGTGCAGCCCATGCTGGCCTTGAACTTATAGTGATCCTCTTGCATCATGTACCAAAGTATTGAGTGCTGGGATTCCAAGTAGATGCCACTATCCCCTTTTGATGTCTACCTGCAGTTTCTATATCTGTTGGTAAACTATTATATTTTATATTTACATATATTATATCTACAGTGTCTATATCTGGTGTAAGCTATTATATTTATATCTGTAGTTTCTACATCTTTTGTAAGCTATTATATTTAAAACCATAAAAATACTCTGAAGGGAAGTACCTCACAGGGACGGATAATGCTGCTCATAGAAGCTATGGGCTATTAAACCCGTATTATCCTATGAGCTGAGTTGTTGATCAGAAAGGATCCACATACTTCCCAAACAAAACAGACTACTGCCATTGCTCTTGATTACCCATTGGAACTAGTTCATATAACCCCACTGTTGAAGATACCATGCACTTCTGCTTCAGGTCCCAGAGAAATGGCTAAGGAGAATTGTCCCTGATGGCTAGCTTTCATAGCACTGGAAGGTGTTATATAGACTGCTGAAGGGGAAAACTCATTAATGGTCTTATCTAGCTGTGAACCCTGTGAGCTATCAACCAACCAGGCAAAATGTGCTCACTGGTGCAATAATGGCATTACTGAGAGGCAGTAACCAACCAGTTATGATTGGATTTGAGGCAGGAAAGAATTCATGTCTAATATTGTAAACCTGGTCAGAGGCCTATGGCTTGGGAGGTCATTAGCCATAGAGGGTGTTGTTTTGCTAAGTGAACGTGGTATCCAACTGCCTTCTAAACATTTACATTCATACCCATAGATTAGTACTATTCTCAGCCTCTGTTTGCAATGGATGATGGTTAATGCAGAGACTCACAACTGGCCAAAGTGATGAGAATCAATGACTGTTGAGTGCTCAACCCTAAGTAGGACATCTTTATCATCCCCTCAAAGGCCCAGGAGTATTAATGAAGAGAAGGCAGAAGAGGGCTATGATTTTGTCTCTTGGACATGGCATGCTGCACTGATGAACTCAAAGTAGCTATTTGTACAAGACTTGCCTGCCATGTTTTCATGAGGAAGAGGCTCATGCAGTCCCATTTCCTTTTAAGGTACATGGGGGGCAGGTAGACTCATGTGCCTCAGCAGTGTGGTCACTGATAAGTTGTACTTTCTCAAATAAATACTTCCCACTTAAGCTCCTGCAAGCAACCCTAATTTAATGCAAAGGGGTGCTCTACCCTATGTGTGCACTGTATGATAGTAGAAAGGGAAGCGATTTGGAGGAAGAGGATAAGATAATGGGGGTACGGTATAAGCAAAGTTTTACACACACACACACACACACGGAATTATGATAGAAATAAAATTAAAAATAGATAATGTATCTGCTATAATGGTTCACACCTATAATCCTGGTATGACAGGAAGGAGAGCTGTGAGTTTGGGGCCAGCCTATGTTACATAGTGAATTCCAGAGCAGCATGGACTATGCAGTGTGTTCTGATCTCAAAAACAAGACTAGACAAAACAATCTCATATCTCTAAAAATACCTGACTGAATCACTCCCAGAGTTTTTGATGTGGGAAGCTGGGGAGGGGCAGAGGTGGAATTGGTGTTCTTCCACAGCTCAGGGATAATTGTGAGCATGGGGACCACAGTGAAGAATTACCGTCTTAGAATATATGTCACCATCCCTTCCCCCACCTTTGGAGTCCAGTCCCCTGGCATAGCTGTTCTATAAGAAAGGTCACAGTCTGACCTTCACTTGATTTACAGTCGTCTCTGAACTCAGACGCCTTCACTTAAATTATTATATAACATTTCCTAAATCAACCACACTTTCTCAACTTAATTCTTAAGTTGTGGGTGGCATTTGACTCTCATCTTCCCTAAAAATAGTCAGACTAATTGTGTCCCTGCTTTTCTGTCCTCCTCCTCTATACCTCTAATAAAACTGAGAAGAGGAGAATTGACATTTTTAACTGTCTCAATGGTACAAACCTATAAGCCCAGTTTCTGAGGCTTTGTAAATAAAATTTACAAAGGTGGGAATTACATGGTAGAAACTTGCATCATATGAGGAGGCTCTGAGTCCAATTCATAGTGTGTCAAAAAAGAAGAAAAAGAAGAGGTTTTGCTCTGTCCTTTTCCATGGAAATATAATTTCTTAGAGATGGCAACTCTAATTTATGATAGTCCCTCTTTCCATCATTTTCTGGGGAATGTAATCATTATTTAAAGTAATAATTCTTGATTTTATTAATATTTATGGAATTCCAAGTTCTTCCACGTGGTAGTATTGACTCTACTGTCAAGAGATTTTCTTATTCACTGAATAGTAGAGACAGAAGGCCTACTCTCCATTACCATGTTGTATGAGAGACAACCATGGTTTGGGGAGCCCAGTGATATGAAGAAGGTCCTTAAATAAATTAAAGGAACAGAGCAAGCCCAAAACACAGGGCTAAACATGTAAAACATGACCTGAAAGATGGCTTAGCAGTTCACTAGCAAAGCCTTTTGATCCTGGCATGTTGGTCATGTGTTTACAGACTGACAAATACAGATAAAGACTAAAAGAGGAAGTCAAAAACAACAATGCAAGAAAGAACTGTGTGACATTTCTCTTAAACACCCCCACCCCTGCAGAGTCCTTACTTATAGTTTCATGTATGCAATATAATTCATTTGTATAAGCCCAGGGAAGCTAGGAACCACATGAACTCACCGTACCTGGCCCTCTGAGCTGTCCTGTGCAAAGGCAGGCTAGTGGCAATACTATTTCCTAAGCTGGGAGAAGGGAGAGGAGGCAAGTGGGTCTCCTAGAATTGAAGTGGGACTGGACTTTCCAAAAGCACACGGTGTACAAGAATAGCAGAAGGGGCTGTTGTTCATGTTGTAATAACAGAAGGTTTTAGAGCTTGAGCCCTTACAAGAGATGCACATGTGAGAACTAAGCCAGATAGAGTCTTTCAAATATTTCTGCCATTTGTTGTAAAATTCTTTCCATTACAGCAATTAAAAATTGATTTCATAGGGCTAGAGATATAGCACAGTCATAGAGGGTTTTTCCAATGTGCATGAGGCCATGAGTTCAAGCTCCAGAATGGCAAGTAAAGAAAAAATGATCTCTTAAAGCACACTATAGGTTACCTAATTTCCTTAAAAAACATTCAGAGAATAAGCTGATATAATCCAGTCAAATATATAGCCAATTAATTCCAATGCCAGACTACTGTTGCTCCCAGGCAACATAAGATGAAGAACAAACAAACAAAAATCTCAAACAATGAAAACAATAACTGAAATACTTCCAAAACCACAAATCAACATCAGTGATTTTGTTTCTCAAATGTTAACAAGATGGTAGCCTCAAACTGGTTACGGTGGTATATGCCCTATAATCCTAGTGCTTGGGAGGTAAAAGCAAAAGGATTAGGAGTTCAAAGTCATCTTCAGCTACAAAGCAAGTTCAAGGCTAGTCAAGTGTACATGAGACCCTGTCTGAAAGTAAAATAAAAAAATACCGGTGAGATGTCTCAGTGGATGAAAGTATTTGCTGAACAACCCTGACAACCAGAGATCAATTCCTGGATCTCACAGTGGAAGGAGAAAACCCACTCCCCAGAGTTGCTCTCTGACATACTTACACACGAGCACGCGCATGTATGCACACACACACACACACACAGACACACACACACACACACACACACCAATGAAAGTGATGATAATAATACTACTAAAGTGTATGCACATAAAAGAAGAAAGCTAACATGGTTTTGACACATGCTAATCCATGCCCCTTTGCTGTGGGCTAGATACCATGTATAGGTACCCTCCTGTGCAGTAGCCAAGCACAGAAGAGGTGCCACACCTACTGGATTTGAGTTCAACATCCATCAGTAAAGACAGAGGTGGAGGACACATTTGTCACTGTTCCTGAAGCAAAGCTGTACTTCCATTATTTCAATTAGGATGCCTTTACTATTCATTTGAACTAAGAGCTACAGAGGAAATTGTCTAGGAACTGCATGGGCACATAAGTATCAGTTATCTTTTTTCCATATGTTAAATCATTGCTATATACTTTTGTGGGGGGGGTTGTTTAACAATTGTGTTTAAGAAAGGACATCAAATGATGCTTAGAAATGTGATACACATTTTCATTTCACACTCCATCAGCTTTTACAACTGTAGCTCAATGAAATGTGTGAGAGAGCTTGGCAAACAGCCATATTTACCAAGGTATAAAAAAAGGGGCCATGTTACATTTTTTTATACATTAAAAAATGTTTAGTTTTCACCCCACAGGACTCAAGTATATATGCAGCTCACACTAGCAAGAGGCAGCACACCACATGTGTGCCACAGCTTTAGTGTCTGTTCCCCTGTAGGCTTTAACTGTGCTACAAACAGCTTTGTCAGCAGGGGAACATCAGGTTCTCAACCCCCTCCCTCCAGGAGCTATGGTACAGAAACATGCTGGGTCTGTTCACCCTTGGTGTTGAATCTCTTACCTGTGAAAAACTGCTTTCTGCCTTCTGCTCTGGCCTGAAAAAGGAAGCAGGTTACTCCCTTTATGGGTAGAGGAGCAAAAGGCTACATCAGCAAACGCACAGCTGCACCTCTAGATCTCTGCCTGTCAGAAAAGGGCAGAGCCTCTGTGTCCTTCAAAAGGGGACTATATGTGATCACAGACTTATGGCCCAGGGTCACTGTACTCTGCAAGCTGCCAGGTCATTGGCAGTGTGGAGGGAAAGAACGTTTGACTTACCTTTGTCAAACCCGACACTTCTCCCTTGGCCAGCGGCTTGCTGATGGATGGCGTGTAGATTTTGGTGTCTGATACTGGCTGTCCTTTCAAAAAGTGTTTTCCTGATTCATAAATGTCTACTTCAACCATTTTCCCCATGAATTCAGGGTTCTTTGGCACTAAAACCTGAAAACAAATGTTCAGAAATGGAAAGATTTTAGTGCCAGCTGTATTTTACAATAGAACAATGTCATCGGAAGGGTCCTTGCTCCCACCACTCTCCCCACCATTAACTTCTTACAGTAGCACAGTGTTTATCACAGTGAAGAATGAAAAATGATATGCTACCAGCAACTAAGTCCTCACTTTATTCAAATGTCCGCAAAGGTTCTGTTCTGGGTTACCATTACAGAGTGCTCTATCTCCTGGCTGCTCAAGGATTTGGAGCCCAGGAGAGAGGCAAGGCTTCTCTGGGAGAAGCCAAGGGCCTGCAGACACAGGGCCTCCAACACCAGATGCCAGCTGTCCTGAAGCACAGCGGCAGGAAGCCTGTGAAATTTCCAACAGCCAGCCAGCCACTTCTGCACTGGCCTTTGATAGTCTGCCTTGCCTGTCCTGCACAAGGAAGAGAACAGATTCAATCATTTCTAATTTAGCTGTCAGGAAAATAGTTTAGTAGGTGCTTCAAATGAAGGCCTTGTGTGTGTGTGTGTGTGCATGCGTGTGTTGTGTGTGTGTGTGTGTGCGCGCGCGTGTGTGCATGCGTGTGCACAAGAGGGCAAGAAGAAGGACATTTGGAAGCAATTCTTTCAGTGGGACAGCACACTGGTGTTTGCCTAAATGACTGTTCTGGCTAACGGCTGCCTTTCATGCCTTTCATTGTTTGAAAAGAAATGTGTTTGTTAGTCTCATGAGCCAATCTCTGCACAGAAGCAGCCACTCTGAAAGCCACTTTAGCTGGCTCACAGGAAACTGTCAAATGGCTGTTTCTGATAGACTGACAGTGGTCCATGTTTGCCTCAACGAATGTCTCCTCTTATTGGGAACCTACAGGTAATTTGTATGCATTCTATCCCTGACACCTCTGCTTTAGTACTGTAGCTATTCACTAACCAACCTCTTCAAGTCAGGGTCCAACATAAATAGACCAGTGCTAAACCAATAATCCTTTGATATGTTGATGCAATCTTATTTAGAAATAAAAGTTATGCTTTGAAAGGCTTAGCTCTAGAGACAGAAAAGGGGGCATGGGTCAGGAAAGGTCAGGGAGGGTCCGGCAGTTGCCACACTGGGTGTTGGTTTTTCTGAGGTCAGTTTTTATGATCACTACACACATGGCTTCATCAAAGGGTAGGAAAAAGGTCACCTGGCGGGTGGCTGACTCATGGCAAACAGGCCAACTAAAAGAGCATTAGTATTAGGCCCTTTTAAATTCATTTTTATAAAGTTAGAAAATCCCTAGCCCAAACTATGTCTAGAAATTTTGGTGCTATTCCTGGGGAATATATGCCTTCTTGATCTGCTGCCTTGACCTGAATGAAGGGCTCAGTGTTTCTTGGTTTTCCCCCCCTCGGGTTTTAATAATTGGAAAAAGCCCAACTGCCTTACACTGGAGGAAAGAGCTAATGAGGCATGCCATTGCCTTTTAAATGAAGGGGGAAAGGTTCCCTGCTGAGGCAGAAACCCAGATGGCAAGGGGAAAGGAGAGGGAGGAGGCAACCAAAATACATGGGGTCCTCCCTGAGGCTGAGCAGAGGGCTGGCCTGCACAGGAGAATGGCTCTTCCTGAGATGGAGACAGGAAGAGGCTTAGCTTAAAGCCGAGGTACAGGATCTCCTTTCTCAGCTGCAGCCTTCTCTGTACCCAACAAGTGTGTCTACTTGGGCTCTGAGAGGTCCCACCATAACTCCAGTCATGGTTTCCCTTGCCCAGCCTTATCTAAAGTGCCCACATAGTACTTAATAATCCCCAAATTCCAATTCTAGTCATGACCCAGAGAGAGAGAGAAAGAGAGAGAGAAAATAAACCCACTTCTCATCTGATGAGAAAGAACAGACGGATAGGAAATACCATCGACATTAAGGAAAATTAATACGGCTCAGAACCATCTGTGGCCATCCCACGCCACTCTGAGTGTCTCCTAGGACACATTTCCCGTTGTCCTCGTTGGTCCATCCAGGGAGGCACTCTGTAAGTCACATCTGACATCCCCCCCACCTTGGAGGGTGGGGAGTGAACCCCAGGTGCTGATCCCTCTAGTGGCTGTTTGTTTACTCCGTGGGTATTTTTGGTCTAATTTCGTTTTTTCTACATTTTTTAAGATTTCTATTTTGAAGGAAAAAAAAAAAAAAAAAAAAAGCTTGGAACAGCAGGAAAAAGCCCTATTTGAACTCCACTCAGCCCTATGAACCACCAAGGAGGGCTTGTGAGGGTGAAGCAACTTCCCTTGGAGGGTTTTAGAAGCAGGGGTGCCCTTGGCAGTCTTCCTCACCTACAAGTGAAAGGGAACCTGCAGCTCCTGCTGATGTACATTTACTCTCACCTGCCTTCCAGTCAGGGCCCATCTCTACTCACTTTGTGTTAGCTGCTCAGTTCCCAATGGCCAGAAGCCCAAGGCTGCCCTGTCTTGGACTTGTGTGGCCCAAAATACACTTGGTAACTGACCAAAAAAAAAAAAAAAAAAAAAAATATATATATATATATATATATATGTGTGTGTGTGTGTGTGTGTGTGTGTGTGTGTGTGTCTTGTAATATATATATATATATATATATATATATATATATATATATCTCAGAGATAAACTGCCCAGCTAGCCTGGCCCCAACTAGCCTGACCTCTTGCTTGATTCAGTACTTTCTTCTTAAATGTCCCTGTTGCTTAAACTTTTAGAACTAAATTTGTGTTAAGAAATGAATACAAATGATTCTTACCTGCTCGTAGAATCGATTATGTGCAACATAAAACTTAGAATCAAAAGATTCTTCTGTTACCAGCACTTGTTGTCTTTCACCAATCTGTGGGGAGAAGAAAAGACAAGGGTAAAGAAGCAAGAATCCCAAAATACCTGTGAGTTCGAGGCCAGCCTGGTATACAGAGTGAGTTCCAGGACAGCCAGGGCTACACAGAGAAATTCTGTTTTGAAAAAAAAAAAATTCAAAAATAACTATCAGCCCATATAGTGTCCTGGACCATAGCTGCTTGCATTTAAAGTAGGCTGCAGATGGTCAGTTGTTTAACAGACAACACTGTGCATAACTCATTCAAATCTCTTGAAAAACATTAACTATGCAGGAATGCAAAATCACCACAGCACAAACTCAGTTTTTATATGACTAGGAAACAACTTGATCAGATTTCTTCCTTCCACACAAGAAAGATTAAAAAAAAAAAATTCCTAAAATACACCATGATCTAAATATCACTTTGTTTCTTGCAACAAACTCGCAAAACAAGCCAGGACAAGCTGCTTCTAATCCAAATGCAGGGAAATATTTTGGCAATATGGGAGAATAGTAATAAACATTAATTTGAGTTATGAGGGATATAACACTAAAGAAAATGCATCAGAACCTAGTCATTAGGGCTGCAAAGATTCTTCAGTGATTAAGTGTGCACACAGCTCCTCCAGAAAACCAACATTTGAGTTCAGCACCCATATTGGATGGCTTGCAGCTGCCTGTAACTCCACTTCCTGGGGATCTGAGTTCCTTTTCTGGCTCCAGGGGCACCTGGACTTACTCATGTACACATATCCCCTTCCTCACAGACAGACAGACAGACAGACAGACAGACAGACAGACAGACAGACCCACACACACACACACTAATTTAAAACATACATATAATTTAAAGAAACAAAATTAGTTAGGCCTTTACATCTAAGTCTTCTACATGTTCCACACAAATCTGAAATTATCACTAATTTGCATATGTATTTACTTGTCACTTATATTTTTCTCTGTTGTGGGCAAGTGTCGTTTCATTGTAGCTACAACTCCATTCCATATCACTGTTTTTGTTTTTAAGAGTAAACATGAAATTATGAAATTTTCTGATCAATGAATGGAACTAGAAGACATATAACGGAGTGAGGTAATCAATATCAGACCCAGAAAGACAAATGTTACATGTTCCACTCACAGGCGGTCTTCAAATGTGTGTTTACTCTAGAGAATATGTAAAATCCAGAAAGCCAGAGGAGGCATTGGTAGAGGGTGGAGGAGAAGGACCTTAAAGAGGATGGTAGAACACAGATGATGTGAAGTGGGGGTAAGGGCAGGAACGTTTAGGTATAAGGAGGGATGGGAGGGGAGGGCAAAGGGAGAAGGATGACTAATACTAAAAGAAGTTTGGAAAAACAGTATATATTTATAAGCTACACACACACACATACACACTTATATAAAAGAGTTTAATTGGAATTACTCTACACAGAGGACAATGTTCCTTCTTATGCTGCATCGTTTTTTGCCAACTTGACACAAGCTAGAGTCACTTGCCAAGAAGGAACTTCAGTTGAGAAAGTGCCCTCACCAGACTAGTTTGTGGAAAAGCCTGGGGGGGGGGCATTTTCCTGTTTAATGACTGGTGTGGGCAGGCTTACCGTACTGTGGGTGGTTGGCACTTCTGGTCAGGTGGTCCTGAGTGTATACAAAGCAGGCTGAGCCAGGCATGGTGGCTCATGCCTTTAATCCCAGCACCAGAGAGGCAGAGGAAGGTGGCTCCCTATGAGTGTGAGGCCTGCCTGGTCTACAAAGCTACACAGAGAGAACCTGTCTTGAAAAACAAACAAGCAAGAGAAGCAGGCTGAGCAAACCATGGAAAGCAAGCCAGTGAGCAGCATCCTCCACAGCCTCTGTGTCAGTTCCTTCCTGCCTTGAGTTATTGCCTGACTTCCATAGATGATGAACTTACAAATTGTACAATGAAATAAAGCCTTTCCTCCTCAAGCTGTTTGTGACCACGATGTTTCATCAGCACAATGGAAACTCTAAGATACCCCTAAAAGCCATAGTATGCCAAATAAAACCCAGTGACAGGTGTGGGATACTTCCCCTTGAGAGATGTCCTGGAAGCTCCCAAAACAATACAGGCCATTGCCTGTATTTGAACTTGATGGTAAGACCCTATTGCTAAAGACACCACACACTTTGGTCACAGGACATGGAGAAAACAAGTTGGTACTGAATAGGAAGCTTCTTCTCTGCCACTTAGCTTTCACAGTATTAGAAGGTGCTGTATAGGCAGCCAGGAGATAAAAGTCATCCACAGTATTGCTCAGCTGTGAACTAGAATAATAGGGATAGCAAGATATGGGTGTAATAGTGGCACACATGTTATGGAAGTAATCTCTTCCCTACCCCCCCAATGGGATTTATAGCCCTTTCTACAGGAGGAAACATTTGCCTGTTATTGTTAATTTGATCAAGAATCCATGGTTTGGGGCACTCACAGCCCCCCCCCAGAGGTGAATCAACAACTATTATTCTGTTGTCTTCTGGACATTACAAGAATGCTGACCTGCAATAGCGATTGCAGTTGTCGGCACAGGACTGGTACGGGGTCAGGCTGCTTAGCATTCTAGCACAGAGCAGGGAAGGGTTCTCGACCCCCAACTCTGAGCAGCTACTGGTAGTTGATTCATCATGGAGAAGGGAGAGTTAATTTTCCTTAAGAGTGTAGTCCCTGGCAGGTTGAGCATGCTCCAGTGGGTCACATAAACTGGAATCAGTGGGTAATTAAACAAGAGAGGACATAAGCTAGGAAAGGGTGGGGAAGAGGGTAGATCACTGTGGAGTTAGAGAAATATAGGATGAATATGACAAAGTAAACTCTATGAAAGTCTCAAAGACATAATGAAAATGCATTTTAAAAGCAACCAACCAATGGGTCTGTGTTACCAAATTATGCAGCCATTTTTAATGATCGTAAGTTAAATCAGTCAAATAATGGTTAAAGAAATGTGACTATGCTCCCTCCCAATTGTCATTTCCAAGTTTATTCCACTGTGAAATGTATCATTTAAGGGATCAATTACTTAAAAAAACAAAACTCAACCTTGTCAAAAATTTCTGCTCCCTCAAACCAGCTGTAAAGCCTCCTGGAATTGCTTTTGCTGTTGCTATTTGGTAAATACACCCCATACTGGCAGGATGATCCCCCCCCCCCAGAAAGTCCTATTCTCATTTGTAGGGACTTGTCACTGTGTTCAGGCAGTTATCATTTAGGGACCATAAACACAGCTGCACTGAGCAGACCACCTAACAATTAAAAAAAAAAAAGAACAGAGTAAACTCCCTACTCCCTCTTACATTGCCAATACCTAAGTACACCCCAGTGTGCCATCTAGCTTACCGCCCTATTCAAAATGCAGTCTCCTTAGCCAAAGGCTGTGAGGTCTTTGATAATTCTTTTTTAAAAAAAAAAAAAAAAAACAAGACAAATCTTACTCCCTGAAAAGCAATGCACACTTCTATAATATATCTCTTTAAAGACAATCTAAATATACCCCCAAGGAAAATTCCTCCAATTTCTATGATGAGCTTCTAGAATCCCATTTATCAAAAAAGACTGGTGAATAGTAGGTTTCATGGGTGTTAATTCTTGTGGAGAAAGCTGGGATATTTACACACAGCTCACAGTGTGAGTTGCTTATGACTTAGGAATAAGTAGCTGTCGATGGTTCTCAAGGTAATCTGCAATTATACTTCATCTAGCGTTAACACTATGAACACTGAAGGTGGGAGCTATTTGCTGTTTCTCTATGCTACAATGTTGTAATTTGTGTGGCCGGTTGTTTTATTTCATATGGAGATAAAAATGCTGGCAGTAAAATACAGGTATACAGTAAAACAAAAGCAAACAACAAGAAAAACTTTGTACATTTAGGTAGGCAGCTGGGATTGTGATCAATCAGAGAATCACTTTAGATGAGCCTTTTACTGTCATTTGCCAGAGGCTCAGGACTGTAACATGTGGAAATGGACAATAGCAAACACCTTTTCAGCCATGGACCTTGGTCACCACTATGTCTCTTACCAGAGGATTAGAACAAAATTCCCAGAGGATACTGAACAAAAGATTGTGGGAGACAGCTGGGCACTGTTCCGAACTGCTGCAATCCATCCCTATCTGCAAAGGCGTAAGAACTAGTGAGGTTCCCCTTGGTGATTTTTATGAATGAAGACTTGGACTGGATATCAACCACCACCATGAAGAGACCTGACTCCTTACGTCACCCTGAAGCTATAGGAGTTGAGGACTTTCCAAGAAGTACTTGGCTTTGGGAACAATAAAGACCTTACAGATTTGCCATATTATATGGAAGCCTCATGTCTTTTTACTTTTTAGTGAATCTTTCAATGCTGGGCATGAGTTCAAGGACTAGTACAGGTCTGGCAAGAGCTCTACCACTGAGTTGTGCCCCAGTCACCTAAGCTCATTTCAGAGGCACCATTTGTTTATGTTTTCTGAAAGTGACCCCTCCCCAAATCTTCAATTCCATTAAAGACTCACCTATCAAGATTTACAATGGCCAGCGTGATGTGTCTTATAATGAGTGCTTCTGCTAGCAGACTGAGGAGCTTCTGCCCCAGAGATAAAAAGAGGGCATCTGACAGAAGTGGCCAAGCCCCAGGCCTCCTTAGGCACATCAGACCACACCTCCTATGCTAGCAGCAGGGCTGATCCATGAGAAGGGACCAGAGTTTATCTTACACAGTGACCGAGCATGCACTGGGCTTTAGCCAGCACCAGGCCACAAGTCTACTCATCTGATGTGCTGCTAAGATTTGGCCTTCTACAGCTACCTCCCTTCAGTGACAGAACTCTTGAATTCAAGGTCATGTTACTCTGTAAAATGATCGAACCAAACCCTGCAAGTGTGTAAGGGGCTGGCAAACAGGGCAGCACAATACCATACTCAGCAGGAAGAGCAGTCATTGGCAAATCTATAGAATGTTCAAAGGATGGCTTCAGAACAACCTTGACAAGCCAGGACAGGAAGAAAGGCATG